GGTGCAGTTCCGCCTGCGGCAGGTGGTGCGCGGGGCGCCGGCAGAGCAGCAGCGCCTCCTGCGCGAGCTTGAGGACTTCGCCTTCCGTGGCTGCCCTCACGTCCTGGGTTACGGGGGCCCCGAGGACCCCGCCAGCGATGATGGCGACGGGCTGCCAGGGGACCGGCCATGGTTGCGAGGCGAGGACCAGGTGAACAGCTGGGGCTGGGCCCCGAGGGATATGAGAATAGAGGGCTGGGTGGATGGCGATGCTGTCGCTGACGAAGGTAGCAGTGGTGAGAAACCAGCTCCTCTAGGTGTGTATGTGCGTCCCAGAAGAGGAGACTAGACAGGTACTCGGGGCCAGCTGTAAGGTAAGATGACAGGCCTGGAAAGCTGATGGTGAGAGGTGTCCACCAAAGTTGTGGAAAGAGATGCAGGTGTGATGACGTGCGAGGCATAAGAGCAGTGAGCGAGGAGAGTATTCAGAGATCAACGGAGCAAGCAGCTGAAGCAGTACTGCTCCCACTCGCCTTGCCGTCGCCTCGACAAATACCTAAGTCGTGAGTACATAGAGGACTCCGACCCTGGGGATTGAGAAAATCGGCTAGCGAAGGGCAAGTGAATTGAAATTCATGAAATTTTAGATCTGCATTCTGTCCATGCTTTACTAGAATCTAGAGAATGTCTTTCATCTTTAGACTCTCTCTTCTGGTTAAGAACTTTGTGAACAGCAAGGTCTCTTAGTAACTGAAAGAAACACAACTCCTGATTATATGAATTTCCTAATCCTGGTATTTTAAAACTCCTTCCCCGTCCTGCTTAATAGCTAGATATTCTAAATGAAGCCCCCTTGGTAACTGTGACAACATACATTCAATTACTCTACAGTAAGTACCGAGAATTTGTGTGACGTAACAAGGGAACGTTTGAATCTCTGTAAGTGTGCAGTTGTAGATAGTTTGTTGGAAAAGACTTGCTGTTTTTTCTCCACCTTTTTATTCTTTAAGTTACAACCCACTCATGTGGCTTTCTTCCCACTTAAATTGGTTTTAACTTTAAGAAGACTTTATCAGTATGAGATACTGACTTGCTTATTTTAATCTGAACTGTTTCCAGTACAGTCCTGTGTTTACTGTTCCACCCTCCTCTCCACACACCCACAGCTCCTTGCACAAGTCCTCAGACTGCCAGACTTTTAAGGAATAGATAGAATAGAAAGACTTACTGTGGCAGGGCCCTGTTCAGGAGTGGGGAGCACCAAAGGTTCCGCGTGGTTGTGGTGCTCTTTTGATTGTTCATTTTTGCTTTTGGAAACAAAGTATAGAGCTCAAAACTTCTAATAAGCAGCTGTAATCTTGTGTGCATATATTGACACATGAACAGGTAGTGCCAAAGTCAGGGACATGTTTGAACCAAATGATTTACTGCTTCTCAGTTTCAGGGTTTTTTTTTTAACCAGTACTTTTTCTCACTTCATACTGGAAATTATTTCTGTTATTTCCTGCCTTGCACCAGAGCTCATTGTTCTCTCCTGGTAAACTTGTTTGCCCGCACTCCAGTAAATAGCATACTCAGTAATTACCATGGCAAGTGACAGAGGTGAGCAGACACGCTCTTGAAAAATGGAATCAGGATTTACGGCTGATTTCATTCTTCTTTGGCTTCATAAAGTTGTGATGCAATGAAAACAAAGTTTTCCTAGTTCTTTATTTAAGCTGGTTAGACAGCTTCTTTCACTAAGAGTTCATTGTTTGGAATGTGCCCTTCTGGACCTGATTGAGTTCAGTAACAAACAGCAAATTTGTATTGAGAGCTTAACCCTGTACCAGACACTGTGCTTGATATAGGGGTACAGTCAAGGCCTTTGCCCTTAAGGAGTTGATAGGCTTAGGGAGACAGAATCCTAAACAAATAATTATTATGTGATATGACCTGAAGTAGAAGTGTATACAAAATACAGAGGAGGAAATGATCAATTATGCCTGGGGAAAATTGAGGAAGACCTCGTAAAGGGTAGCTAGGCCCACACTAAGTGGTGGAGAGGGACAGAGTTCGAAGAAGAAAACATAATACTGGGAAAGGATTGGAGAGGGAGTGTCCTGAGAAAAGGCTTGCTTTCATATTGAGCAAAAACTAAAGCAAGAGGATTGCTATTTAAATAGCTGAACAGAAAGTTAATTTGTTGTTTTTCATTTGTTCTCTCTCAAACCTTACGTCTGGAGGCATTGGTAAGTACCATTTTAAGGTTAGATTTAATATTCTTTCGACTTCTAGTTTAAAATACAGCTTTAAACCTGCAAATGATTTGCTGGTTTTGCTTTGTAATGTTTTTGATACTCAAGAAAGGCAAGAGAGAACCAGTTTTTGAGACTACATTGACAAAACTTTACCTCTCTGAAAAGTTTTTAATCATTTAAATGCAGAAAACTACCTGGTGGCCAACACCGGGAAAAAGGAGTCACTGGTCAGGGAACCTTACCAGATTTTTCTTTTTTGGAGGGGATGGGTAATTAGGTTTATTTATTCATTTATTTATTAATGGAGGTACTGGGCATTGAACCTAGAACCTCTACCACTGAGCTATGCCCTCTCCAACTTTTTTTAAAAAACATTGTTACCTTCCCAGCCCTGTTACTTGACTTTGGATTTTTTTTTTCACTGCCTCAGTCAATTGTGTTTATTTGATTCTGCAATACACTGGAGGGGCTTTGGACTTTAAGAAAATTGGTTGTGATTTGTAAAGCCTTTCTCTGTACCCTTTCCTCCAGATTCTTTTGCAAAATTTGGCTGCAGAAAGTATTCAGGTGTTCTTCTGCGGTAATTGGCTATGAAGGATGGCACGTTTAATTCCTGGGAAGCTGTCTTGGCTAAGATAAATTGTGTCAATCCTAACTAGACCTTTGAGGGGAAAAAAGCAATCTTAGCAAAAGGCCCCATTGTATTCATATCCTATTTCCAATGAAGGACAAATACTTTCTTAAAGAAAACACATTTAATAAATTGCCCTGGGTTAAATAATTATTCTTATTTTTGAACCTGTCTCATGAATTCTGTTTATCATTTGGGTTATTTGAAAACATTTTGTATTTTCCCATCTAAGAGTGAGCAGGAGAAACAGGAACGTCTGGAAACCCAACGGGAGAAGCAGAAGGAACTCATACTGCAGCTCAAAACCCAGCTCGATGACCTGGAAACGTTCGCCTATCAAGAAGGCAGCTACGACTCCCTGCCGCAGTCTGTGGTCTTGGAAAGACAGCGGGTGAGCACCACTGCCGCAGGCTCCCTTGTCCCTTCCAGCCTTCACAGGACAGCCTTTTCTCGCTTGTTCACCCACGGCCTTACTGCTAGCCCAAATCAGAGGGACATTTTGCTACTACATGGGACCAGTCTTTCTTCACACATGGAAATTCATGTGCCAGAGCTTTATATTATGATGATTGAGTTCTGTTTTATGTTATTAATGATTATTAACATTTACTTTATTTATTATATTATTAATAATAATTAATGGCTTATTAGAGTGATATCATTATTTTATTGTTATTAATTATAGTAATATATAATAGTAACAATTATAATTTCTTTCATTTGATCATTAAAACTGTTCTGCTTGGGCATTTCATACAATGTAAACTAGTTTATTTCCCCAGCACCAGTTGATAAATATTCCAGGAATACAGACTGAGATTTTAATGCTGTATCTATTTAAGCAGCACCTGAGCAGACAGGTAGATCTGCTGGTCAAGCTACAGCTACAGCCTCCCCTCCACGTTTGTCTCTCTCAGTGATGTGGCTGTTTTTCTGGCAGGGCTGGAGTTACATAATCTGGTTTTCAGATTGTTCCTAATATTGTCACTAGGATGTTTTGTAGAGCTTTTTCTTTAGCTGCCTAGAGTAGGGGGAGAAGGGATGAGAGGAAACTGGAAACTAAGAGAAATCAGTATTTATTCTCTTGGAGGCCGTGGGGGAAGCTAATTGAATATTCCAAGAGAGGTTTTTTTGTTTGTTTTTTGTTTGTTTGTTTCAATTTAAAGCTGTTTTTGTTTTGGTTTGGTTTGGGGGGGTAATTAGATTTATTTATTTTTAATGGAGGTACTGGGAATTGAACGTAGGACCTCGGAAATGCTAAGCACGCACTCTACCGCTGAGATACACCCTCCCCTCCAAGAGAATAAATATTCTCTTGGAGGCCTTGGGGCTTTCTGGATCATCAGCCACTTTGGATTATTCACACTGTTGTTCTCCTTAGTGAAAGTTGCCTGTCCTGGTAGAAAATTTGCAGCAGGAGGAACCATTTCTGTCAAAGAGGAACTAGGGGTCCTTGTTACTATGAGGAGTAAAGGGTCTGTGCCCTCACCCTGATCAGAGTTGCATCATTTTTCTCACAAATTTGGGAGCTCTGTGTGTCTTTGGTTTCCATTGAAGGGTAGGAGGGAGGCATACTAATAAAAGACTCTCCTTTTTACTAACCTTTCACTAAAAATTCCAAAGGGTGTGCTCATGGCTTGTGGTCTTGATAGGTGATCATAGACGAGTTAATAAAGAAACTGGACATGAATCTGAATGGGGACCTCAGTTCACTGTCCACTGAGGAGCTTCGGCAGCGTGTGGATGCAGCTGTGGCTCAAATCGTCAACCCAGCCCGAGTGAAAGAACAGTTGGTTGAGCAGCTGAAAACTCAGATCCGAGACCTCGAGATGTTCATCAGCTTCATCCAAGGTCAGAGGAGGAGACAAGAAGGGAAGGGTGGCCAGATGTCATAATAATTAATGCATTGTGAATACTAACACCTAAAGGCACTAGTCTTTGATGTACCATTTAAGAGATTTAATCACCCAGTAACAGGAGCCAGCGTGATGGAGCGCAAAGAACAGGGATTTTACAATCAGAGAGTTAAAATCCCAGCCCTGCCACCTACTGGCTTCATGTTCTTGGGCAGGTTACTCACCTCTTATCCCGCTCTCCTCCTCCGTGAAATCACTGATGCTTCCTTCACTCAGCAAATATTTATTAAGCCAGCCACTTACGCCAGTCACACAGTTAAATAAGATACTATTTGTTAAAGTGGTATTCACTAGTAAATAGTATTTTTTCTTTAAAAATCTGCCATAAAGAGGCTAAATAAGTGTCTTGTCTTTATGACTACTAATTCCAGATGAAGTCGGAAGCCCATTACAGACAGATAGTGGACACTGTGAGTGCAAGGCCAGTGGGAAGACAGGAAATGGCTCCACCAGGACTGGCAGCAGCAAACTGCCTCCAGGAAACAGCAAAAGTAAGTACACCTTCCAGAATGGGCAAATCTATGGAGACAGAAAGTGGATTAGCAGTTGGGGGGGCTTGAGGGCTTGGGGAGAAGTGGGGAATGGGAAATGCTAACCACACAGGGTTTCTTTGGGGATGATGGTTGCACAACTCTGAATCTACTAAAAAAACCACTGAATTATACACTCTTCATGGGCAAATTGTATGGTATGTGAATTACCTCAAAGTAGCTGTTATTAACCTAAAAAAAAGGTAAGTCTGGCAACATCCTGGGTGGCTCTTGGCTTCATGGGGGACCTGTACTGTAGCTCAGACGCAAGACTGGACCTCAGCTTATGACTCACTGAATGTACCTCTGACCACTGTGGCCTCTCACTGATGAGCCACTGTGTTTTCTGTGCAGCGAAGGCAGAGGACGTGAAGAGAGTTCGGGAGACAGGGCTGCACCTGATGCGGCGAGCGCTGGCAGTGCTCCAGATCTTTGCCGTCAGCCAGTTTGGTTGTGCCACAGGCCAGATCCCACAGACCCTGTGGCAGCGGGGCCAGACTGACAGGGACTACTCTCCCTTACTGAAGAGGCTGGAGGTGTCGGTAGACAGGGTGAAGCAGCTCGCCTTGAGGCACCAGCCACACGACCACATCGTCAGCTCTGCCAACCTCCAGGACCTCTCTCTGGGAGGGAGGGATGAGCTGACCATGGCTGTGCGGAAGGAGCTGACAGTGGCCGTGAGGGACCTGCTGGCCCACGGGCTGTACGCCTCCTCACCAGGGATGAGCCTGGTCATGGCCCCCATTGCCTGCTTGCTGCCAGCCTTCTCCTCGGCCCCCGAGGCCATGCACCCCTGGGAGCTCTTCGTAAAGTACTACCATGCCAAGAACGGCCGTGCCTACGTGGAATCCCCGGCCCGGAAGCTCTCACAATCCTTTGCCCTGCCGGTTATGGGAGGCACTGTTGTGACCCCCAAGCAGAGCCTGCTGACAGCCATCCACATGGTGCTGACAGAGCACGACCCTTTTAAGCGCAGTGCAGACTCGGAGTTGAAGGCCTTGGTGTGCATGGCCCTCAATGAGCAGCGTCTCGTGTCCTGGGTGAACCTCATCTGCAAGTCGGGGTCGCTCATCGAGCCCCACTACCAGCCCTGGAGCTACATGGCACACACAGGCTTCGAGAGCGCCCTCAACCTGCTCAGCCGCCTCAGCAGCCTCAAATTCAGCCTCCCTGTAGACCTGGCTGTGCGCCAGCTCAAGAACATCAAAGACGCCTTTTGATGAGAATGCCTTGGCCCTCAGCCAGCGCCTTGCTCAGGAGGGGTGGGTGGTTAGTCTTCTAGGAGCAGCGCAGCAGGAGGAGGAGGGGATAAGACATTTCCCCTGGCCAAATGACTGCAAAGTCTGTTTGCCCCATCAGCGTAGCAGCTCAGAAAGATATGCTGGGGACCCTCTTGTTAACACGTTGATTGCCCACTGTGGATCCGGTGCCTCTGAGGAAACACAACTGTCACCCAGATTTGGGTGACGTGGTGATCAACGTGTTAAAAGGTTCTGCCCTGGCGTGTAACCACAGTGCACATGTGGGTGCGTCCATTTGAGCTTGTGTAAAAGAAATCATCAAGGCACACAATTAACACTAACTCATTGCGCCACATCTGATTTTTAGAAAACCCGGTTGCTCTAACCGTTATTTTCGTGGTGGTGAGTGACAGCATGAATTAGTCGTTTGTCCTGGAAGACATTCAACCTGAGGCTTCCGTTAGTCCAGTTGGGTGCCATGTTCCTTCACCCGAGGCAGGTTGAAAGTCCTGGGTCAGAATGTAAAATTCTTTTTCTGAGGACTGATGCCCTTTTCTTCCTGACCCCAATGTCAGGGGAGGCTTTGTATGCTCTATAGCTGCCTCTAAAGCCGGGAGTGGGAATATCTGAGAAGAGCGTTTCTAAGGGTGTTAATCACAAGTTGATTTTAATATGAGCCCTTTTTCATGTAGAGGGAAGAACTGAAATCTGTCCCTAACGAGGTGGGCCTTTCCTCATGGTGCAGATGATGGTCTTTTGGTTTTGGAGCTGGTGGTTTACGGGGACAACCGCCGTCTGGCAAGTAACCTTTCTCTGCACACCTCCCAGATGCAGACCCAGTCCCCTCAGAAGTGTGTGTGTCAGAGGTGTACTGTACTCTTTGAGAGAATCCTGGCCACCCAAGTCCAGAATGGATGGGAACACATGTTGGTGACCTGCAGCAGCTCCTCCTGGGGTTGTGACTCCACTTGTCCTGGGGGCTAGATGATGGAGGAGGTCTGATCATGTGACAGGTACTACAGCCAGAATCAGAACTGTGGCAGATCCCTGCTGACAGATCAGGGGCTGAGCATTTCATTGTAAAACTGAGTCTCAGTTGGTCCTATTTGGTCTGTTTTTGCCCTTTTAGTTAATATTTGCCACTCAGCTTGCATACTGCTCTGGGACTAACCAAAGATGAGCAAAATGTATCACCTCCTGGAAAACCAAATGGGTTCTCAACACTACTGATCCAGCATTGTTTCATGTACTACATTGCCAACTGCACTTTGTGTCTGCACTATAACGTAGTGCGTTTTAACTTAATTTTTCAGTAACATTATTTAAGATATATTATTGATAATTGGAATTAGTCCTTCTTCACATGAAATAGAATAAGTGTAAAATGTGAAAAATGATAAATCTGTGGTTGCTAATAAAATCATTGTATTTTGTGATTTTGTAAGTTCTCTGCAAAGACCTTAGAGACCCTTGGCTTTGGTTTATAAGTCTGTTTGGGTGTTCTCAGCCCATCTGATCCAGATCAGTATTTCCTTGAACAGTGTCTGGTGTCTGGTGTCTGGTCCTTCTGCCTCTTCTCTGCCCTCTGCCCTGGATCAGCTCAGCTTTGGTGTTTTTCCCCCCTTGAACAATTTCACTAAAAAATGCCCTGGGCATCCTGTCTAGCCCAGGTCTGCAGTCCCATCCCCACAGCAGATCTCAGCACACATGCCACTTTTGGAATTGTCACTTTTAAATTCACTTGTCTGGATATCATTTAAGGTGGGTGATAACTGCTGTAGCCACATAGTATATAGCCCTGGGTCACCCCAGTATTAAATTTTCTAATCCTCACAAAAACTAAACTAACTCTTATCAAGGTTTTATGCTAGCATCATGGGAACCATTTTTGTGTGTGTCATCCAAATTTAATTCTCACTATACTTGTAAGGCGGGACAGTATTATCCCCATTTTATAGCTGAGGAAACTACTGCAGAGAGTTAAATATTTTGTCCAGGTTTACATATTGGAAGAGCTGGGATTTGAACCCAAGTTGCCTGAATCTAAACCCTATGGTCTTTATACTGTTATGTTACTTCATTGTATCCTAGGCTGCTTCTAGATCTTTTGTTCCTCTCTCTCCTTTATCCACCCCCTCACTTCACCATCATTTTGGCAACGAGCAGGTATTTTCCACATACCTGCCAGAAATTTCAGCTGCCAAAGGACTAGGGTTGCAGGGAGATGGGCAGACAGCCATTGCTCTGTCAAGTTCTTCATGAAACTGAAAAGATGTGTAGAGACAGGCATGCCAGCAGATACCTGCTAGTCACTGATAATACTGCATTATAACTGAGGGCAGAGGTCTCTGCTTGGCTTGTGGTGAGACAGACCGGAGAAAGGAGAAAAGGAGGAACAGGTCTCAGGATATGCAAGAATAGAATGAAAAAGAGCCGCAGATATGTAGCCAATGAAAGTGCAGCATCCACTGTATGATCTGCAAAGCGTTGGTAAATATTTTCAAGGTGCTCTGCTGTTAGTTCATGCCTATTGAGCCCAACTGCTTGGGCCAGGCTAGGTGCTGAGGACTTATCTCTCTGTGCCTTAAGGGAACGCACAGTCTAGCAAAGGAGGTACCAAACCAATTGGAGATTTGAATAGCTTGTTAAAACACAAATTGCTGGGTTCTATCCCCAGAGTTTTTCATTCAGTAGCTCTGAGGTGAGGCCAGAAAATTTGTATTTCTAACAAGTTCTCATCCTAGTTATGCTGATGCTGCCGGTCTGGGGACCACACTTTGAGAACCACTGATCCAAACCAGCTAAAATATGTTCTATAATAAAACTAAACATGAATTGGATTGCTGAGGGAGCACAGAGAAGGAAGAGATTATCTCTGCCTAGGAAAATTCTAGAGTGGCCTTGAAGGATGGAAAGGATTTTGCCTGGCTATAGTGGAGGAGAATAAAGACATGTGGAACAGCCTGAGTGAAGACCCCAGGGCTCAGAAGAGGTTGGATCTTTGAGTAGTTAAGCTGGCTGGAACCCAGAGGGTATGTGAAGGGTGTGGAGGTGTCAGGAACTTATACTGCAGGAAAGATAAAAAGGAAAGGAGTGAGAGTTCAAACTTTGGTACAGAGAGCCAGCAAAGGAATTCAGGCAGTTAAATGGTGGTCTTAAGTTGTGTTTAGAGAAGTTTCTCAAAATAAGATCAATAGCTCGTAGCTCCACTCCAGACCTGAATTGGAACCTTGGATGTGAGATGTATGTTTGATAAGCGTCCCAAGCAATTCTGACCCACACAGAATTTTGAAGGACTGGAGAAGACAAAGAACAGAGGCTGAATCAGGGAGCAGGTAGGAAAGGATAGAAAAGATTTAAAAGACATAAGGCAAAATTTGCAGGATTTAGTTATTGATTTGGAAAGTGTTAGTAGGTGAGATGAGTCCAAGGCAATGATAAGATTTCAGGTTTTTATTTTCCAAGAGAGGAAAAGAGGCAGAAGCAGAAATGGAGGCTGAAAGAAGTCCATGGAGGTGGAAATGGTCAGGGTCACATGGTGCAGTGGGAAGAGCGCTGGGTTGGGGTAGGGAGACCTTGCTCTGCGCCACTAACTCTGGTACTTTGCTGCTCTAGAACTGTCCTCTTAGCTTTGAGGGGCCCAAGCAGATGATCTCTGAGGTCCTTTCCAACTCTAAAGTGTCATATTCCAAACTAAAGCAGAAAATATTTTAATTGAATGTGGAAATAGAAGTACTTAATTAGGGTGATAAACCACTGGAATGAGGTCCTGAGGGCTGCAGGGAAAATTGATCCCTGGAGAATCTCAAGAAGATAAATGAAACCCTAATTATTCCCACACTTTGCTCAAGACCAATCCTATAGGTTCGTCAATGTTCAAATGAGGAAAAACTGTAAGATGGTTTCTCTTGGTCTTCAACTGGGAAGATACCTAAAGAACCATCTAAAAACACTCTTTCAGTGAGTGATGGGAAATAATTCAGTTTGAGAGCCAACTATACTTTGACTCAAAAAACTAGGTTTGAATCCTACCTATGCTACTGATCAGGCTTAACCACAGACAGCCTGATCAAGCCTTATCCTCTCTAAATCTCAATTTCCTGGTGTCTAAGTGGGAGGAAAATACCCAAGATACAGAGTTGTGAGAATTAAATAGGCAGTTGACTTAACCTAAAGTGCGTGCCTAGCATCTTGCCTGCACAGAGTAGGTGCTCAATATGGTGACTGAGTAAACAGAACTGAGTCGCAGCTCCACCATTTACTAGCCATGGATTTCCGACCAATTACTTAACCTCTCTAAACTACAGTTTCTTCAACTGTAGGACGGAGATAACAGTACTTATCTCCTAGTATTATCAAAAGAGATAATAAACGTAAATAGATTAAGTCGGCCTGACATAGGGTATGCAGCTGCTATTATCACCATAATCCTTCAGCTCCCTCACTTATTCTAGTCTGTAATGTTTCTGACATCACTAGACTCTAAATACTGAGGGCAAGTACCCTTGTTTGTTTGATCTTCGTCTCTCCCTTCCTACACCTAACAATGCATACAAAGCGGGTGCTTATAAATGCCCTATTTCTGACTCTTAACAAGGAAAAAACGTTAATTCCAAACTGTGCCCCCACCCACCCCCTAGTGCCAGAGAAAGAAACTACAACCAAAAGATCAGCGGCGCAGCTGCGTCCCCGAGGAAACCTTCCGCGGGAAGCAGAACTACTTTACTCTGTTTACTTCCATAGCTGCTAATAAAGTTTGATTTGAATAAATGACCTGCCAGGCCTTCCTTTCCCCTCAAGAGCTTCTTCCGCCCTCGGCACAGTTTACGACGCCACGCAAGAGGCGGGGCGAGGCCGGATGGGCGGGACAGGAAGTGACGTCACTCTCCCCGCGGTGAAAGGTTAACGGAAGTACCGTTTCTTCCTTTCTGCTGTAGTTCCCGAGTGGTTACCGCCGGTGAGTAGAACTTGGGTCAGGGTTTTACAATCCGCCGCCATCCGTGGCCTGGGTGTCGAGTTGCGGGGCGGTGGCTGGTGCCTTCCGTTTCTCGGTCTCTGGCGGCTTCGTTGCGGATACTGGCTTGGGAGCAGGGCCCGCGGGCGCCCTGAGCCAAGGCGGCAGTAAGGGCAGCCTGAAGTTCTGGCCCCACACCCTGAGCTTGCGGATTTCTGAGCGGCCCCTTCCTTTTCTCTGCAGAAATGGGCAAGTTCATGAAACCTGGGAAGGTGGTACTGGTCCTAGCCGGACGCTACTCCGGACGCAAAGCGGTCATCGTGAAGGTACCAGCCTCGCGTGCCTCTACGCCCTCGCATCCGCGGAATAGGGCGGGTTTCGGCGGGCGGACAACTTGGAATTCAAGACTTAGTTTGGGGCATTATCCACTGAGCGTTGCGAGTTGGGGTTGCGGAGTGAATGCACGAGAGCTTTTGAGAAAGATGCAAAATAAAAACAAATGGGAGTTGAATTGGGCAGCTAACACAACGCGTTCTCTGTCAAAGAGAGTTTAAATAATAATAACGAACGTTTTTTGAACGCTTGCTTGGTGCCTGGCATTGCTTTACAGGTGTTGTCATGTCCATTCCTTGCAGTAACTATAGGGTTACCTAGTACTGCTAAGGTTTAAAGATGTTAAGTAATTTACCTGAGGTCAAACAGGTAGTAAGTAGGTGCTGCAGCTGGGACTCTGTAAAAAGAGGAGAAATTGTTTCTAGGCCAAATGGCCATTTAGCATAACCTAGCCCTTCACTACCTTCTCCCTACATCTTGTAGCCTCTTATGAGACCTCCGTAAGTTCTGGCCGCGTACAGCACTGCTCTTGACTGTCGTGGGGACATAGGGGCACCCTTGGTTGCTCTTCCTCTATCTATCCGAGGCCGGTTTCTGGAGTCAGGCCACCAGGTTTGGAATCCTGCCTCTACCCTTTACTATCAGTACAATCGTGGAGGAAGTTAAGAGATGTAAAATCCTAAGAGCCAGTGCCTGGCACTTAGCAAGCGCTCCATAAATATAACTGTTGTTATTTCTCAATCTTTTACCTCCCAGGAGCCCTTCCAGGTTCTTCCTGGTGGGAATGAATACCACCCTTATCCCTATGACTCTTCGGGCATCTAGCATAGCACTTAGAATGTCTGTTTTGTGTGGTTTCTGTAGTGTTGGGCCTCAGAGTCCTAGGGGTGGGGGTATTCTTTCTTTACGTGCCCTACATCTAGCATAGGGCCTAAGCAGCAACAGCAAAGGTAATTCTAAGTAACAAATTAATTCTTGGACTTTCAGAACATTGATGATGGCACCTCGGACCGGCCCTACAGCCATGCTCTGGTGGCTGGAATTGACCGCTATCCCCGCAAAGTGACAGCTGCCATGGGCAAGAAGAAAATCGCCAAGAGGTCAAAAATCAAGTCTTTCGTAAAAGTTTATAATTATAATCACCTCATG